TATGTCTCTTTTTTGCTATTTATTATCAACAATTAGATACTATTAATTTCATATTTAATTTAAACAAGAAATTTTGATGTCACTTCATAAATAATGATACATGGACATAATAGGTGGTTATGCTCTCTTAATTGATCGATTAAATTAATTTTGTCCCAAAACTTAATTAATGATGATGGTTTATGTTTAATAAATATCAAGGTTGTGAAAAATGAGAGTCGGTTTGAAGGCAGTTAAGCACCGCCCTACGATAAATCGACGCGGTGGAGATTAATCAACAATAAATTACAAATAAACCGAATTTTCAAATTTAATGTAATATACTTCTAGTTATCATGTATATATATAGGTTCTTTCGACCCTACACTCGGTGAAAAATACCGGGTGGGTCTTCTGCTGTCACGTGTTTTTTTTTTTTTTCTAAAACCCCTAAAGGTAAACCCTAGCGGGGAATCTATTATAAAATACAAAAAAGAGACACGTGGCAGCAGAAGACCCACCCGGTGTTTTTCACCGGGTGTAGCATCGAACAAATCTTTGTGTTACGTCACGCTTGATTCAGTGGGGCCCACATCTGAAGCATTAGTGATTCAGTGCGGTTTCCTATAAAATTCCAAAGTCACCCTCAGCTTTCTTTCTGCGCCACACTTCACGGGTGCTTTTTTCTCTATTATATACCCCTCAAATTACCCAATTTACCCCCACATATTTCTATTTTCATTTTTATTATTAATAAATATATAGATATATATTTAAATTTTATTTGTACGAAATTGACTTAATTTTGATACATTGGTAGTCCAAAATCTATTTTTTGGAGGATGTCATATTGAAAAATTGGAAATTGAAATTGCTAAAATAATGCAGAAAATCGGAAATCGAAATTTCAAAAACTCGAATAGATTTTTTTTATATTTCAAAATTGGAGTTTTTCGGATTGGAAACAACGGAAATAAGAAATTCCTAATAATATTTATAGGAAAAATTAAGTATGCACCGATTTCACATTTAATCCCCATGTTCACATAAAAATACATTTGATTCCTTATGTTTAAACAATTTAACACTTATGGTCATTTTTGTAATTTATCGTTAGGCAGTCAGTCAGCTGAGATAGTGACTAATACATGCTTAATTTCTTTAGGTATTAGCAGAAAGTTGACTGAAATGACCAAATTGTTGACTTGTTTAAATATAAAAGATCAAATATGTTTTTTTGAACATACGGGACCAAATATGAAATCGGTGCAAACTTAAAGGACATAAACTGTAATTTTTCCAATATTTATATTATAAGTGTGATTTTTCAGAATAAAAAATATTTTCTTCGAAAATCTCACGGATATTTCAATTTTCAAAAAAGAAAATCAGAAAAATCAAAATTGGATTTCATTTTGAATACAAAATATTGTTCCAAAATCGAAGACTGGAATTTGGATTTAAACTTGTATTTGTTTGCATGGGAATTGATAAAAAAAAGAGATGCGCTACTCCTCCTACTCGTGTTTCAATTTCAATCAGATTTTTCTCATGCACACAAACTGACTGACAAAATGCCCAGCAGAGAAAAATTACAGCTGAAGAAAGAAAAAAAGAAAGGAAGTGCGTACGTACCTGGAGCAATGTAGCCATAAGACCCTGCAATAGCAGACATGCACTGCGACGCTCCACCATCCACCAAGAACTTAGCCAACCCAAAATCCGCCACACGAGCTTCAAAGCTCGAATCCAGCAGTATATTATTCGATTTCACATCGCGATGAACAATCAACGGCTCACAATCGTGGTGAAGATAGCACAGCCCTTTCGCCGCATCGACCGCAATCTTGTACCGCAAGTTCCACCCCAAGATCCCGCCTTTCTTCCCATGCAGAGCCTCCCCCAAGCTCCCGTTTCTCATGTAGTCGTAAACAAGAAGATTCGTGTCCTTATTGGAGCAGAATGCTAAAAGTCTTACGATGTTTCGATGTCTGATATTGCCAAGTGTTCTAATCTCGGCTTTGAAACCATGATCATGTCCGTTAATCCCGTTAAATCCCATCAATTTCTTGACAGCAATTTCGACCCCGTTTGGAGTTTTTCCATGGTAGACGACCCCTGCCCCGCCCCTGCCTATCACATTGCCATCTTTAACGCTTTCGATAACATCGTTCACCGAAAAATCGAGCTTTTGAAAGGCCGTCATTTTCCAAGAATCGCTCCCCTTTTTCTTGAAAGACCTGGCCTTGAAAACGGCAGCTGCTGCGAATACTAACGAACACATTAGCAAGCCGAGTGCGAATACTAGCTTGAACGAGTTGTGGGGTTTGCCAGGTGGGCTTGTCTCATTGGCTGTTGTGAGATTGCACGGATTGTTGTTTAATAGGGGTCCGCAGAGTCGAGGGTTGCCGATGAATGAAGTAGCGTTGAAAACCGAAAACTGGCCCGTTTCCGGAAGCTTCCCAGCGAGATCGTTGTATGAAAAATCGACTGTTGTGAGGCTTTTCATGGAGGCGATCGATTGAGGTATGGTGTCGTTCAAGTGGTTTCTTGATAAGTTTAAGTAATTCAAGATTTTGATATCGGATATCTCTTGTGGGATTGAGCCGGATAATTCGTTCTTGCTCAAATCGAGGTAGTTCAAATGGAGGCAGTTTCCGATTTCGAGCGGAATTCGAGCTTCGAGTGAGTTTCCGCTGAGGTCGATTTTCACTACTTGTCGAAGTTGACCAATCGAAGGAGGGATTGGACCGGAGAAATTGTTTCCACTCATCAATAAAATTTGTAGTGAAGAGAAATTCGACAAAGAAAACGGCAACCGACCCGAGAGCTGATTATTCGACAGATTCATCTGCTCTAGATGTGTTCGATTCTTCGAAGAAGAATCAGAATCGTAACCGTTTTCAGACAAGGAACCGGAAAACATATTGCTCTGTAATTCAAGAAAGTTCAATTCAGGCAGGTAAATGAAACCACTTGGAATGCTGCCATTGAAGTAGTTCTCCGCCAACCTCACCCTAACAAGACTCGTACACGCCCCTAAATCCTCCGTTATCGAACCGAAGAGGAAATTCTTCTTAAGAATCAATACCCGGAGCTGCTTCGATTCGCACAAGTGTTTCGGAATCGTACCTGTCAGCTTGTTCGTCGACAAATCCACCTCCTTTAGAGGCTGATTCCAACCAAGATTCTCCGGTATTTTGCCTGTAAAATTGTTCATCCACAGAGCAAGCGTCTCGAGTTTCGGATAACCCGCGACAAAATCCGGTACCGACCCGTGAAATCTGTTCATGAAAAGATTGAGAAGCTTGATTTCTTTGAGGCTTACGAGCTCGTACGGAATCTCGCCACTAAACCCATTCAAAGAAAGATCAAGATTCACCAAACTCGTCAAATTGCCTAGCTCTTTCGGAATTGGCCCGTTCAGTCGATTCACGTGGAGAAACAAAGTATCGAGCGAGCTCAAACTGCCAAACTCTTTCGGAATCGAGCCATCCAATTCGCAAGTCGAAAGATCCATGTGGACTAAATTCACTAATTTCCCAAACTCCATCGGAATCCCACCTTCGAAAGCATTGTAGTACCCCAAGTAAAGCTCCCTCAAGTTAGTGAGATTGCCTAACTCTCGAGGAATTCTTCCTTGTAGATCATTTCCAGCCAACGATAAGTACTCCAACCGAAATAAATCCCCGTAAATTAAAGGTATTTCGCCATAGAAATAGTTCCCTCCCAATTCCAAGTGGTTGAGATTGTTCTTCAAGCTCAGAACGCCGAGTGGGAGTGGAGAGGAGAAGTTGTTGTTGTACGCATCGAGCACTCGCAAACTCGGGAGGGTCGAGTAGTTCCAATCCAAGCTCCCCTCGAACTGGTTGTTCGACATGTTGAGGAATCGGAGTGAGCTCATGTTCTCGATCTTGA